TTCTTAATTTGGAGTCACTGAAAACTGGGCTGTGCTTTCTTAGAACCCTGTGAACTGAAGCCAGACAACTTAAACTTCAGAAGAAAATAACAGCAACCTGTTTACATACGTAAGCCACTTTCATACCTACCTACTAATGTATGGACTTCAGAGTAATGTGGCCTATATTGTTTTTCCAGGATTGTTCTTCTGTTTGTTGTTGTTTTTTCTCCCTTCCTGTCGCCTATTTTCTCTTCACAGGACATGAGACTTCACAACCTGCCAAAAATGAGCTTTCAGGACCTACCCCTCTAGGAATAAACTATCTGAGCCATGAGAGAACAGATGAAACCTGAGATCAGAGACTTGTTTTCTTTAAAATGCTTTCTCCAAAAGAGTTTACAAAAAGGGGGAAATGTGAAAGGAAAAGATCTTGGGCTCCCAAATCACTCAGAAGAACTCAACCTGGAAACTGCCTAGGGCAAATCTGCCTCTCATTCTATTGGAAGTCACCCCTGAGATAGATGCATATCTGATTGCCTCCTTTAGAAAGGCTAATCAGAAACTCAAAAGAATGTAACAGCTTGTGCATCACCTATCTGTGACCTAGAAGCTTCAAGTCTTCCTGCCTTTGCTTCAAGATGTCTCGCCTTTCCAGATCAAACCAATGTACTTCTTACATATGTTGATTGATGTCTGTCTCCCTAAAATATATAAAGTCAAGCTGTGCCTTGACCACCTTGGGACATGTCATCAGGACTTCCTGAGGCTGTGTCATGGGCCTGTCCTCAACCTTGGCAAAATAAATTTTCTAAATTAACTGAGATCTGTCTCAGATTGGGTTTGCCCTTCCCTCCACCTTTCAAGATTTTCTCATGTTTGTTTACCTAAAATGTCCAGGACTTTTTAGTTATACTAAGCAGAAGGAATAGGGAAAAGTATATTTTCCAGAAGAGAAACATAGTTTTGATTTAATATTAATTTCATTATTCTTTTATTTAACAGAAATCATTTTGGGGTCCCCTTTCTTCTTAGGGTTCATAATAGTTTCCTGTATTAATTTCTACTATTGCATAACAAATTAACACAAACAGCCTTAAAACCACACGTAGGTATTTGCTTCCTAGGTTCCCTGGGTCAGGAGACTTAGCATGGCTTAGATGGGCCCAGTGCTCAGTGTTTCACAAAGCTGAAATCCAGGGTCAAAGTCTCCCATGGCTCTGGGATCTCTGTCCAAGCTCAGTCTGTTCGTTGACAGAATCCAGTTCCTTGGAATTATAGGACTTCCGCGTTCAGCTCCTAGAGTCAGGGCCACAGACGCTTCAAACTTTGACTCTTACCTTTCTTCCGCGGTCTCTATATAATTCAAACCTTTCCCCTCAGGAAAAACCTGGCTCTTTTTTTTTGAAGGGCTTACCCGGCTAAGCAAAGCCTACCTGGAAAAATTTTCCTTTTGGTTGATTCAAGTCAACCAGTTAGGGAATTTACATTGAAGCAGGAGCGGCTGCGGGAAAGGATCTCTCGGACACCGAATACAGGAGGAAGGAATTTATTCCAGCTGGGAGCAAGGTGGCATAGGTGCCTAACAGCCAAGCTCGTCTAACAAAGGGAGGTTCAGCCTTAATACAGGCTTATACTTTAGATGTTACATGCGGAAGAGTCTTAGGTTCATAGTTTTAGGACTCACATGTGAAAACGTCTGTTTACAGTTGCAGGAATCACATACGAAAGGGTTCCAGTTTACAGTTTTAGGACTCACATGTAAAAAGGTTTCTGGTTTGATCTTGTTTTAAGTAAAAATAACGCCTTCTGGAGAGTTTCCCCAAGGCCTAGCCTGTTGTTTTCAGGAAGGAGAGTCAGGAGGTGCCAGCTGGCCTGCTCTCTCTTTTATTGAGATTCACAGTGGTTGACAAAGGGGAAGGGAATCCCAAATGCCTGGGTCTCCCTCCTCAACATGAGCCTGCAAAAATCCACCTCCTGTGCTATGTAAGCAGGCTCCTCATCAGAGCAGAATTCCATGATATTCACAAAGTCCCACCCACACTCCCAGAGGGGATTATCCAGGCCAAGGTAGAATTCTGCTTGTCACAGTTCTTCTTTGCTTCTAAAGTTCACACATCAGATTTTAACGGATCAGAGAATGATATTTATATATGACCTGATGCAGGGATCCCACTTCATTTCCCCCTATAAAATAACTAACTGTGGGCCAGGCACCGTGGCTCACAGTATAATTCCAGCTCTTTGGGAGGCTGAGACAGGTGATTACCTGAGGTCAGGAGTTTGAGACAAGCCTTGCCAACATAGTGAAACCCTTTATCTACTAAAAATACAAAAATTATCTTGGCATGGTGGCATGTGCCTGTAATTCCAGCTACTAGGGAGGCTGAGGCAGGAGAATTGCTTGAATCTGGGAGGTGAAGGTTGCAGTGAGTTGAGATCGTGCCATTGTATTCCAGCATGGGCAAGAAAAGCAAAACTCTGTCTCCAAAAAAAAAAAAAAACTGAGTCCTTTCAGAGTCTAAGAGGAGGGTGGGGCAGGGGCACGCACAGTCCTGCAAGTATGTCACACAAAGAGAAGCGGCCCAACTCAGGCCTCTTCCTGATTCTTGTTTGGGGAATTTTGCCATCCTTGAGTTTTCATGAGAAGAGATATAAGGAGAAGTTAAAGGAGGAAATCAACAGACAGGGTGGAACCCTCCAGGAGCACCTGTCATACACCGGAGGGAGCTACCCAGCCTCCTGCCTGGGACTAATTTTGTCTACACAACAGTCAGCCATGGAGAGTTGTGGCAGGATGAAAAATGAAAAGTGTGAGGTCAAAAATTTTAAAAAAACTGGAAGCCTGTGGTAGTTAGAATAATGCCCCTCCTCCCACAAACGTCCATATCCTAATAGAACTTGTAAATATGCTCATTACATGGTAAATAGAATTAAGGGGACAGATAGAATTAGGTTTGCTAATCAGCTCACTTTAAAATGGGAGATTAGGCTGGGTATGGTTCACTGCTACCAGAACAGCATGGGGGAAACCACGCCCATGATTCAATTATCTCCCAATGGGTCCCTCCCACAACATATGGGAATTATGATAGCTGCAATTGAAGGTGAGATTTGGATGGGGGCACAGTCAAACCATATCAACATCTATATATATCGGCAGATTACCCTGGATCATCTGGGTGGAGCCAGTAATCACAGGAGTCCTGAAAAGCAAAAGAGGGTGGCAGAAGAGATTGATTCTGTAAGAGGCAGGCTTTGAAGATCCACAAGGCAAGGAATATGAGCAGCCTCCACAAAGTGGAAGAGGCAAAGAAATAGATTACCCCTGGCCTGGCACGGTGGCTCACACCTGTAATCCTAGCGCTTTGGGAGGCCCAGGCGGGTGGATCACGAGGTCAACAGATCAAGACCATTCTGGCCAACATGGTGAAACCCCGTCTCTACTAAAAATACAGAAAATTAGCTGACTTGGAGGCAACCAAGATGTCCTTCAGCAGATGAATGGATAAACAAACTGTGATAAACCCAAACAATGGAATATGCTAAAAGGAAATGAGCTCTCCAGCTCCGAAAAGACAGGGAGGAACCTCAGATTCATACCACTACAAAAAACACAACCAGTCCGAAAACATACACACTGCATGATTCCACCTATATGACATTCTGGAAAAGGCAAAACTATGAAGACAGTAAAAAGATCAGTGACTGCCCGGCTTGAGGGGACTGAGGGAGAGAGGGAAGAATAGGTGGAGCCCAGGGGATTTTTAGCGCAGAGGAAATCATCTGTGTGATTATACAAAGGTGTATGGATGCCGTTATGCATTTGCCCAAAGCCTGAAGGACTCTACGGAGTGAACCCTAGGGTAAACTATGAACTGTAGTTAACAACAGCGTATCAATATTGATTCATCAACTGTAGCGAATGCTCGATAGTACTATATTAATAATAGGGTAAACCATGCAGGAAGGATGTGTAAAGGGTCGCGATAGCTCTCTCTACTTTGACTAATGTTTTTGAAAAGCTAAAGCTACCCTAAAAGTCTATTAGTAAAAAATTGGAAATAAAATATGAGGTGTTAGGAGGAGAGAAACGGGAGTCATCTCACCGCTTCCTTTACGCTCTGTCTGAAGCCACGCCCTGCATGTCAGGGCTTCTGCACGCTTTCCCTCCACTACCAGTCAATCTGTCAAGATTCTGAAAAGGCACTTTGGGAGGCCGAGGTCAAGAGATCGAGACCATCCTGGTCAAAATGGTGAAACCCCGTCTCTACTAAAGATACAAAAAAAAAAAAAAAAAAATTAGCTGGGCATGGTGGCGCGTGCCTGTAATCCCAGCTACTCAGGAGGCTGAGGCAGGAGAATTGCCTGAACCTGGGAGGCAGAGGTTGCTGTGAGCCGAGATTGTGCCATTGCACTCCATCCTGGGTAACAAGAGTTAAACTCCATCTCAAAAAAAAAAGAAATAGATTACCCCTGGGGCTTCCAGAAAGAAACACAAGCCTGCTGGCATTGTGATGTTAGTTCACTGAAACCTGGGTTGGATTTCTACCCTTAAGAACCTTAGCATAATAAATTTGTGTTGTTTTAAATCACTAAATTTGTGGTAGTTTTTTACAGTAGCAATAGGAAACTGATGCAAAGTTGATAAATTTTATTTTTAATATCTTATCATTACAGTTGTCCCTTGAACAACACAGGTTTGAACTGCACAGGTTCACTTATATTGTGGATTTTTTTTCCAACCAAACGTGGATTGAAAATACGGTATTCTCAAGATGCAAAATCCAAATATACAGAGGGCTGCCTTTTCATATAGGGGATCTGTAGGGCCAACTGTAGGACTTGATATGTGTGGATTTTGGTGTATGTGGAGATCTTAAAGCCCATCCCAGTGAGGAAGGAGACCTAAACATCTAAGATCACCTCCCCCTAGACTTCCACATTGCATTTCAATAGGAGAAGTAAAGGCTGGCATGTAGCAGGAGCGGCCACAGGAAACGGATCTCTCGGACACCGAATACAGAAGGAAGGAGTTTATTCAGCCAGGAACAAGGTGGCATAGTTGCGTAACAGCCAAGCTCGCCTAACAAAGGAAGGTTCCATCTTTATATAGGCTTTTACTTTAGATGTTACACGTGGAAGAATCTTAGGTTTATAGCTTAACATATGAAAAGGGTCTCAGTTTACAGTCTCAGGAATTATATATGAAAAGGGTTTCAGTTTACAGTCTTAGGAATTACATATGAAAAGGATCTCATTTACAGTCTCAGGAATGACATATGAAAAGAGCTTAAGGGGAAGTTTACGGTCTTAGGAGAAAGGGGAAGTTGATCTGAGATGCCTGGGTCTCCCTCTTCATCCCCACCTTTGAGACCCTCATCACTTTATAATATTAGTGAGAGGTCTCAGTTTCATTCTCACTTTCCAGATTTTCTGAAGAAACCAACTGATAATGTTTCATATAATACACTTATGATGTCATTTTTTGGCTAACTACAGTAGTGATGAATCCCCCAATCATCTGAAGGAACAGGGGGAGTAGACAAGAGAGCAGTAAACAAACACCTATTATTATTATTACCCTTATGATGAGGGTTTTGAATCCTCCCAAGGATGAGAACCAACCTCCAAATAAGGACTCAGGGTTAAATCTGTGCCCTACCTGTACAGGCACGTGTGCCAGTTTGGTCCTGTCTTGTACAATATCCTCCACTGCTTGCCCCTGGTCATCTAGGTGCGGACGGCAGTTGGTTAGATTGAATTTTCCACAGACTCCCCCTTTGGCTGCTAGCAAATAATCTAGGGCCAGCCGGTTCTGATAAATTGCATTTCTCATTTGAGTTTCTTGTCAGACCAAGAGGGACAGAGCTTTGCCCGTTTCATTAGTGAATATTTCCAAAACAGCCTGCAACCGGATGATCCGGTTGAGCATGTAAATAGGGGTCCGGTATCCCCATGAGCCATCTTTAGCCCATGTGGCCAGCCCATAGTTCTCAATAATTCTCTCCGGTGGCCACTCATCATCTGTCCAATTCCCTAGTTTTAGGTCTCTCTTCTCTCTATTGCAGTAAACTGGATGCCCTAAGAGCTCACCTATCTTAACAGATAATAGGAAGAAAGAGGGCTTAATGAGGCCTATTGACACAGCTGCCTGTCCGTCTCATGGATTCCACACCTTATATTGAGTACTGTTATATAAACAGGTTCCCTTCTGTGTCCCCGTACATTTATAAGAACTGCAGGACAAAAGAATGGCAGTAACTTTTATGTCCCACCTGGTGTACATACTGAGGGCATTCTTCAAAATTAATGCTCCTACTGTGCAAGTCCAAATATTAAGAAGAACAAGTCCCACGATGAATCTCTTCATGCTTCGGCCATGCGTGGACCAGCCAGCTTCCGGAACGTGGCTGGAGCAAGGCTTGTTGTCCTTTTAAGGTGATTCTGCAGTCCTTGCCTTGGTCTGAGTCTCAGCTGTTGCTGGTTTTTATGTGGCTGTGGTGGATTCAGGCTGGGATTCCCTCTACCTTCACAGCTGTGGGATTGGTCCGGATCAGGTCTGAGTTCCTTTCCATTGTGGCTTTAGAGGGGCTGTACTCACGTCCTTTATTCACACGTGATTGCCTAGTGAGAAAGGGAGAACTGGGGAGAAAAAGGTTTACAGGACATTTGTTATTTACTTAGGTCGAGGTATCCTAAGCAATTCTCCTTAGAGCTGGTAACCAGCATCCTAACTCAATCTCTCCTCACTCACGAGGAGTTCCTAGGAATACCCAGAGTAGGGGAGGGGGCCTATGGTATAAAACTTCATAGGGGAATATCCTGTTTTTCCTAAAGGGGGTGCCTCTAATTTTGAATAACTCCAAGGGAAGTGCCTGCACCCACTCTTGTTTCCTGACACACTTTCCCTAAGCTGTTTTTGATGATCTGGTTCACTTTTCCGGAACTCAGGTCAGTAGGCAACGTGCAGTTTCCATGTGATACCCAAGGCCATTGCTGTTTTCCGGACTAAATCTGCCACAAATGCTGGTCCACTGTGTGCTCCAATGTGCAGTGGTAGTCCAAACCTAGGGATAAGATCTCAAAGCAGCACACAGGTTATTTCATGGGCTCTTCCAGTACCATCCAGAGTATGTGCACACCAGGACCAACTACGTATGTCCTCCACACTTGGACATTTCAATAAAGTCTACCTGGAGATCTTCAAACGGAGCTGCTCCATAAGCTTGAATTCCAGGGGGAATAGTTGGACCCTGCCTCACGTTGTGTTGCCAACATGTAATGCATCGCAGTGCCACCGTTTTGGTCAAGGCTGCTAAGTGTGAGATGTAAAAGTACCGGCCCAACATCTTTTCAAGCAACTCTTGACCTAAATGAGTGGTCTCATGTATGACTTGTACAACTGCTGCCCCCAGCAGCTGTGGTACTGCTATTCTTCCATCTGGCAGTTGGAGCCATCCTTCTTTAATCAGTTGCCCCCCTTCTGTCTGGAGAAAGTCTCTTTTCTCCTTAGAGTAAGTAGATGTTAGATCAGGGATCTGGGGAATCAGCAGGGCTGTAACTGCCATTCAGTAGAGGGTAGATGCTGCCTTGCGAGCTGCTGAATCCACTCAGGAATTTCCCGGGGCCACGGAGGTGTGGGCCCACTGATGTCCTCGGCAATGCATGACCGCCACCCTCTGGGGCTTCCAGACGCATCTGGCAGCTGCAAAATTTCATGTGATACTTTATTTCTTTTCCCCCTGAAGTTAACAGGCCTCTCTCTTTGTACAGCGCCCCATGTACTTGGAGAGTCGGGAAGGCATATCGAGAGTCAGAGTCAATGTTTACAACTTTATCTTTACTCAGCTCTAGGGCTCGAGCTAAAGCAATGAGTTCAGCCTTCTGAGCTGAGGTGCCCTGAGGCAGGGATCTGGCCTCGATTACAGTGTCCAGAGTTACCACAGCATAGCCTGCACATCTGTCCCCTCATGGATTGACAAAGCTGCTCCCATCCACATACAACTCCCAGTCTACTACTGTCCATGGCTGATCCCGAAGATCAGGCCTGCTGGAATAGACTGTGTCCAGCACTTCAACACAGTTGTGTTCAACGGGACCCTCTGACATTGGGAGCAAAGTGGCGGGGTTTAAGGTGTTGCAGACTTCAATGATGATACAGGGATTTTCACATAGCAGACCCTGGTATCTAGTCAGCCTAACATCTGATAAGCAGTGGTGCCCTCCGGTATTCATTAGAGTCACTACTGCAGGAGGTGCCTTGATATTTAGGTTCCGTCCCAGAGCAGTTGCTGCCAGGGCTCTTAAGCATGGGGGCCATTCTTTGGAAACTCCATCTAGCTGCTTGGGGAAGTAAGCTACAGGCCTGGGCCAAGGTCCTACTGTTTGGACTAGGACCCTGACTGCCACTTTTTCTCTTTCTGCCACATATAATGTGAAGGGCTTTTTTAAATCAGGCAGCCCCAAAGCTGGACCTGTCATTAGTTTTGTTTTCAGTTCCTGATAGGCCTGACGCTGCTGGGATCCCCATTCAGAGGGCTCCTTGTCTCCCTGCTTTGTCACATCATAGAGGGGTTTGGCTAGTACTGGGAAGTTTGGAAATGTACAATTTACAAAACCCACCACTCCCCGGAGCTCTCTCGCCTGCCTTTTAGTCTCAGGTTCTGTCACTTTGCAAGTGGCTTGCTCCCTCTCTGCTTCTAGGCTGCGTTCCCCCTTCCAGATGGTGAACCTCAGATATTCCATTTGCTTTTTGGCAAATCTGGGCTTTCCCTTTAGACTCTTTATACCCTCAGTCCTCCAGGTGCCGAAGTAAGGCATTTGTTTGCGCACCTGACTGCCGTGGGTGTCCCAGTAAAAGGTTATCGGCATCTGGGGACAGCATGCAAGCAAGAAGCTTCTGGGGGGCGGTCACAGGCTGAAGCCTCCCCAAGGATGATGAGAGAGTTTTTGAGCCCCTGGGAAGCTGGGTCCAGGTGCATTGAGTGGTTACCCCTGCTTCTAGGTTTCTGCCATTGAAATGCAAATAGTTTTTGACCCTCCGAGGCCAGTCCAATGCTAAGGAGGTATTCTTTAAGTCCAATTACGTAAACCAACTATCCCCTGCTGGTGATAATCCCAACTGTGTGTATGAGTTGGGTGCAAAACCACGCAAGCCCTGCACGGGCCTGGGTGATAATATCAGTCTTCTGCTTCTGGCTAGGAAGGCTCCACCTTCCTTCCCAAGGGACAGTGAGAGCCTGGATGACCCCTGCCTGAGGCATTTTTAGCTTCAGGGAGTCTCTTTTTTTTTAATGGGATAGTGGCCCTCGATTTGCACAACAGGTTTTGCCAGAGAAGGGGAGGCAGGGGCCCCTTCTCTGGCAATACAAGGTCTGTTCTCTTAACACCTTAACAGCTCTAACAATATTGGTTCTGGTTTTTTTCCCCCCATGGGGGATTACAGGGCTGTCATCTGGACTGTGGGCTCTCTGGGGGCATATGAGTCCAGCCCCCCTCTCTTTTAGTCCAGTGGCCCTTCCATTAGATTGAACAGAGCCCCTTCACTTAAAGTCCAGCCCCCCTCTCTTTTAGTCCAGTGGCCTTTCCATTAGATTGAACAAAGCCGCTTCACTTTCTATCTGGATCCTCGTGCTTAGGATCTCTCTCTTCTCCTATTAACTGTGGGCATTTTTTCCAATGTCCTATTTCTTGATAAAGTGCACACTTATAGAAATTGCAGGCACAGGTGGGCAGACTGTGGGGCTTTCCAAGAATTTCCCATTTTCCACACTTTTGGGGGTGTTCCCCTCATAGCAGCAGCTAACAAGTCAGCCTTCCGTTGAGGCTGACATTCCCTTTCCCTATGATTTTCCCTCTGGCTTACCGCCTCTTGGTTTACAAATGCCTGGTTAGCTACTTCCAATAACTGAAGTATTCATGCATGCAAATCCTGCCTGTTTCTGCCACTGAATTTGCCTGGACTTGGGAGTCCACGATTCTCGGCAGTGAGGGGGATGGTGGTTTCTAGCAGTCTATCCCTTGGCTACTAAAACAGTCGCTGCCTGCTCTCTTAGCCACTTCGGAGGGTTTAACACTAACTGCAACCACGAGTCTATGTATGGAAATTGATCAAGCTGTTCTAGCTTGCTATATATAACCTCATGCCTTACTTTGGAGATGAGGGGCCTGTCTAGGGTCCCCTCTCAGGGCCAACCTACCCTAAATGCTGGCCAATCTTCCCTACATAAAACCCTTAATTTCTCTGGTGTCATAGTTACTTTATAATTCCCACTAAATCCCTTCTTGAAGTTTTTCAGCATGGTTTCTAAAGGGGCGGGCTTGCCAGGGGGGTGAGCCATATTAACACTTTAAAGAAACAATTCCCACGGTCAGGAGAGTGTTAGGTCACTCACAGCAGTTCCCGCCTAATAAGACGCAGCACAGAGCACTCTCCAATTTACATTCATTTCAATCCTTTTACAACACCCAGAGGCTTCTTCACTCAGCCTTATGTGGCTGTCTCTAATTCTTAACAAATTGCTCAATGCACGAGGCCCTTCCTAATGGGCCCAATACCTTTTACAACTGATGAGTCTGGCTGGGCACATCTACACACAGACACACATCCAATCGCTCGCCTTCCAATTCAAAACCATAAGCAAAAGCTTCCAAGGTTACAGAGAGCTACCTTCCAACGTGCCGATCTGGCACCCATGGGTGATCAGGCCATAATTCCACCAAAACGGGGTGGGCTACTTTCCCAGGTTCAATCTTACCAAATTCAGTTGTCCAGACTTCCCCAAATGCTTGTTCCTCCTCTGTTCAGCTACTGGGTGGATCCACACTGCAGGGCCCCCCTGCTCCGCTCTGGTGAGGCTTTTCCACTGGGCAAATACCTGCCTGGGAGTGCTCTCAGGATGCGTCACCCCAGCAAGCAGGAGGCCCCTGCAGGGATGCATCACAGGGCTAGGCAAACCACCTGGGAGACTTTTTCCTGCTGTCTGCTATCCGAGACTCGCTTCCCAGCCAACGCACCAAAAATGTAGCAGAAGTGGCCACAGGAAACAGATCTCTCGGACACCGAATACAGGAGGAAGGAGTTTATTTGTCCAGGAGCAAGGTGGCATAGTTGTCTAACAGCCAAGCTCGCCTAACAAAGGAAGGTTCCAACTGTATATAGGCTTATACTTTAGATGTTACACATGGAAGAATCTTAGGTTTATAGCTTAACATATGAAAAGGGTCTCGGTTTACAGTCTCAGGAATTACATATGAAAAGGGCTTCGGTTTACAGTCTTAGGAATGAAAAGGGGAAGTTTACAGTCTTAGGAGAAAGGGGAAGTTGATCTGAGATGCCTGGGTCTCCCTCTTCAGGCAGACTGGGTGCCACCTTAATCACCCTCCTATAGACTGCAGGCATGGTATGGAGGAATATTTTTGGAAGGCACTGTTTTTACTTAAACAGAATCAAACCCCCACCCCACACCTATTTCATGGGTCAAGATCCTTTCAAATGCAATTTATAGAGTTGTAAGCCTTTAAAAGGGCGGGGAGTTTCTTTGTGAGCTGAGCTTGGCAGTTGGGCAAGTCTGCTGCCTTGCTCCCGACAGAATAAATCACCCTTTCCTTCCTAGTTCTGTGTTCGAGAGGTTTGTTTCTTGGCCTTTTTTCCTGCTTTCCCAGAGACTGCTGAGGGACAACAGTGCTTCTTTGTTAAGCATGATGAGTCACAGCTCTGCAGCCAAACATTTAGAGGGCTCTGGAGTTGTAGTGGCTCCTGTGCATCCTCACCTTGCACAGACCAGGGACACAGTAAAACACTTTCTGAAGTTTAATCATAATAAAAATGACACCCACCTCAGGTGAACAGGTTTTCACACACGGAATATGTACACTGGAAAGTAAGAAAGCTCTCCCACATGAGTCCCAAGCCCTGGTCCCTCTTTTCAAAAGCAACCACTCTTGCCATTTTCACATGTAGCCCACCATACATTTACTGTTTGTAAACAACACATGTGTCTATTACCTTTTTGGGGGGTGACAAAATATACATGCTTATTGGAATATATGTGTATAAAATGTAAATAATTTCCATTTAATTATTTATTTGTAATCAACAATAATAAGAATGTGTATTTACAGGTCCAATGTGATGTTTTGTTCTACATATACATACATATTTAAATACCCTTTTTTACTTGTGTCTGCATTTCTACTTGTATTTCTGATTTATGAAAAATATATCAATCTAAAATACATCTATGTTAAGTCAAGAAGCATGCAGCATTCAAAGTTGAGTTTTGGTCTAATGCTATGCTAAGGTTATCTTGTAAATTAAAACTAAGCTCCCACACAGTTAATACAAGTGAGGTAGACCTATTCAAAGGCTATTTACACAAGGAGGGCCCCCAGGACAAAATTACTTCTAGAAAGAGAAGGAGTTGGTCAGAAAGTCTACAAATAAAACCCTAGCAGGTGATGAAGAAAAGCAATTTCAAGTTTGAATAGAATCCCTCACAATAATTCACCCAACCTGACCTACCAGGGACTCCTATCTGACAACTCCCACTGAGAAGGGGAGATGTAAATTAAAATGTAAATGGCTATTTTCACTCTATGCTATATAAGCCATCAGGGTTCAAGCCAATAGCTCTTTGCTAACACTCAAATTAAGCATAGCACAAAGGCAAGAGAAGAGAAGGATTTTCCCAGTTCAACACAGAGCGCAGCATGGCTTCAAGTACATTGCAATTTCCAAAAATAAAGAGACAATGTTGGCATTTGGGTAAATTTGGACCTACTGAGGCCATGCAGAGGCACCAGAGGCTTTGCACAGCAGCAGCGGTGTGTGATGGTGGAAGCATCCTGGCAATGGTGAGAGGGCACGAGGAACACAGAGACTGGGAAACAGGCAGTGGCAAGATGTGGCCCACAAGGCTCGGTGTGCTGCAAGACAGTGTCCTGGAACAGAACCCTGGATTCTCGGGTGACTGGCACTCGTGAACAATGGGGCCAGGAAGGAGCGTGACAATCTGCCTTTGCATAATGAAGCAAAACCAAATGGCATGCTGATGTTTCTGGGGGACAGGACAGGAGGGAAGCAAAGCTGAGGGACAGTGGAGCTTTGCTCCAGCACCAGACAGAACAACAACCAAACCACAGAGATCAATCCTATCAAAATCACCCTGTTTGTACTTGCTTAGCCGAGCTGGCTGGAGGAACATGGTTTATACATAACATTTCTACATTTTTTTAACTCAATTTTAGTAATATTGGATTGCCCAAAACTGTTAGCTTTAAGGACTTCAGTCTCAATCCACCATTTTCTCTTGCCAAAACCGTGAAAGAATGAGTTTAAATGTCAAAAGACTTTCCTGTAAAGCAGGTAGTGTTCCCTCTAAAGCAGGGGAGGTGGAGGAGGTGGCCAACAGCAGACGACTAAGGATGCCAATCAATCATAACAAAGATGAGTTTCTCTCCTTACGGCTTCACCAATTGCTTTTTGCAGATCTTAATGCTTTATATAGTTAGCATTATTAAACTATTTCTTCTATTCTCTGTGGGCAGAAAGAGAAATTGCCAGGTTCAATTGCACCATACAACTCTCACTACATTATTAGTCTGTGAGTATTGTACCCTCTGGCATGCAGAATTTCAAGAACCTTTTATTCTTACATATTAACAGTTTTACTGTTGATTTCACACAGAAATGTCACATCAATTTTTCTGGATTAGTAGTGTAGGTTAAAAGAATAAATTCAAAGACAAAGGATCCAGGCATGCATTTGGTCTTTTTCTTCCACGCTGCCAAATGTTATACTTCTGAAGAAAAACACATGAGAAAAAAGGCTTTTGGTCAAATAAAAAGTCAAAGATCCAGAAAAACTAGAATATGGAATTAGATTTTATTTAAAAGTATTATTTCTGCCTTGCCTAATTATGCATATTTAAATTATCCACTCTCTGATTCATTTTTCTCACTATAAAATAAATGTATTTTCTTCCATTTAAAATATGAACCATACAAACTAAAAATGGTAAGAAAAAAACCCACTGAATTGCTATTGCTCAAAATCAATCATTTTTATTATTTTGGAATATTTCTTTTAAATATTTTTTACACTGTTAAAATAGCTAAACTCTATACTTAGCATATAGGCTTATATGCAATTGGTTCTGTTATTTTTAGTTAATATAAACAAGAATTTCTTCATGTTATTATAAATTTCTTGAAAGCACTTTAAATGCAATAATTTTCCCATCAACTAGAATTTACTTAATTACCGTTTGTTGAACATCTAATGATCGCCCCCCAATGTGTGTCCACAAAAAATGATAAAATAAGAATTTCTTAGAATTCTTTCTAGGACATAAAATTATGGAATAAAATGATTAAAATATGTTTAAATAACTTGCCAACTTATTTTCCAGTAAAATTGAAATAAATTTCACTATTACCGGGCATGCATATAAAGGATCTCTTTTATTTTAATTATTTCTTTAAGGGTTCAATAATTTTTTTTTTTGAGACGGAGTTTCACTCTTGTTACCCAGGCTGGAGTGCAATGGTGCTATCTCGGCTCACTACAACCTCCACGTCCTGGGTTCAAGCAGTTCTCTTGCCTCAGCCTCCTGAGTAGCTGGGATTACAAGGGGTTCGATAATTTAAGGGAAAAAAATGTCTTGCTGGTTTGATGGATTAAAGACGATTATCACAGTTGTTTTAATAACTTGTCTGACAACCTGCATTATAAATTGCCAATGAGTCAAACATTTCTATAAAATTTCACTAATTAGCTCGGTCCAAGGCAAAGATGAAGGAACTAACCATCTATTTGGAAGGTGCCCTCAGGGGTGCGAGTTGGGAGCTAGGAGAGGTGCCTGGAGATGATGCGCTGGGGATCCGGCTAGGAGGAGCCTCGCAGGGGCGCGGCAGAACCCTAAGCAAATCTGATCGTTAGAAATATACAGAAATTCTCCAGCACAGGGAAGAAAAGCACCTTGAACGAGAGAAAGGAGAGCGTGCGGCTCAGGAAGCTAGCTCCCAGAGCAGGAGGGCCGGGAAGGCTGCCCTGCCTCTGAAGGCATACCAGGTGTTAAAAAGATTTCTCTCTGTCATTCTGTTTATACCCTTTTCACAATTTCTCTTACTGGAATATTGAGGGGAGAAAACAGATGGATGAAAAATGTGCAAAGCCAGGCTTACTTAACAGTTCGTTTTCACGAATCTGAACGCTGAATGACAGGAGGTAATAATCCTTAGAGGAGAAGGTAATGTAAACCTGGAGCTCTTCCCCATCCAAGATGGTGTTATCGGGTTAAGGTGACAGATAAATATTTTTTGGTATGAATAATCCAAACAACATAGCAGGCTTAGGTTCTTTCTGAAAGAAAAATGTTCAATCACTTAAAAGAGAACAGCATACCAACATGAATTACAAGCGAAGTCCCACTATGAGCACTTATTTTCATTTCTGGGGACCCACGTAGGCTCTCCGGATCGGTGTCATTTCTTGCCATAACTAAAATAACAGATTTCAAATACTTCTAGAACTTACCTAGAGTGCCTCATTTCTTTTAAAATGTTTTTAAAACATGAGTTATTAGACATTCTGCCTTCCCATTTCCCAACTTTTAAACCTCTAATATGGCTTGTACATCACATTTTTTAATTTTATAGATTTTTCTTTCAAACAAAAACATTTTATAATCAGTCCTGTGGCTCCGTTTAGGTTGATTCTTTGATATTTTACATTTTGACTGATTTCAGTGATCTTGGCTCCTCTTTTCTGCTCATAATTTTCTCATTTCTTTATTACACGTTGACTCATTTTTATGGTTCTGGAGAAACTACTCAAGGGTTTGATGAGAATGGGCAGTTTTGTATTCAATAGTCCTTTAGCATCTGAAAATACTGTTGTGGTTTTCTTCACAAACATAAACTTCCCAGCTCCGGTTTGCTCAGTTTTTCCCTCAGAGATGTGTGGCTACCCCTCCAGTGCCTCTCATTGGTGTTTCTGAGAGTCGAAACACTCTGTTTTCTGCTTCTTTAAGCATCAGCTGACGCGGGTTTTTTTTTTGTTTTTTGTTTGTTTGTTTGTTTGTTTTGGAGACGGAGTTTCACTCTTGTTACCCAGGCTGGAGTGCAATGGTGCAATCTCGGCTCACGGCAACCTCCGCCTCCTGGGTTCAGGCAATTCTCCTGCCTCAGCCTCCTGAGTAGCTGGGATTACAGGCACGCGCCACCATGCCCAGCTAATTTTTTGTATTTTTAGTAGAGACGGAGTTTCACCATGTTGACCAGGATGGTCTCGATCTCTTGACCTCGTGATCCACCCGCCTCGGCCTCCCAAAGTGCTGGGATTACAGGCTTGAGCCACCTGCCCGGCCC